ATCACAAGTAAAAATAAATTCAACATTGACCATTTTCTAAATAACAAATGTATACATTTATTCAGATATTGAATTTTAATTGCGCTATATATATATTTTTTAAACTAGATGCATTGTATTCTCTTGGATAGTTTGGGGCTAAATTTTGCTTAGTGTAAAGGCAGTATTTAGTTGCAAATCAACATGATTTAATAGTTACCAATCAATACAAATAAACCTTTCCTTAGAAAAATAGCTAAAAAGTACAAATGCAAAAACATAGTTGAAATCAATTATTTAAATCAAGGTTTTCTGCTTGCTGGTTTAAATCATGATTTTAAATCAATCCACCTTGTCAAGGTTCACAGTGACTAAGTCTTTACCAATGATGTGCTGCCAATATATTAACAGGGAACTTTCACATACTTTACCTCTTGACCGGGGTGGCCAGCCTGAGCCTGAGAAGGAGCCAGAATTTACCAATGTACATGGCTAAAGAGCCACAGTAATACATCAGCAGCCCGCATTAGCCCCCACCCCCAGCACCTCCTGCCCGCCGGCAGCCTTGCTGATTAGCACTCCCCTTCCTCACTCCCCGTGCTCCTCCCCCGATGGAGGGGGGAGGAGCGGGAGGCCTTGGGGTAAGGGGTGGAGTGGAGGTGGGCCTGGAGTTGAGCAGTGGAAAGTTGGCACCCATAGCTCCAGCCCCGGAGTCAGCACCTATGCAAGGAGCTGCATATTAACTTCTGAAGAGCCGCATGTGGCTCCGGAGCCACAGGCTGGGCACCCCTGCTCTTGACAGTGAATTCTGGTCTGGGGGAGACCACGCTGCTTGCACTGTCCCCTAGTAGCTGCATCCCCTTCCTCCTTTGGCCATGCTTATCAGAAATATCCTAATGAGCTAGGAGAGGAAGTATGGTGTACAGAAGAAAGATAGTCTTGTAGTTAAAGCACTGGATGAGGTCTTAGAATATCATGGTTGAGTTTCTGGCTCTGCCATATGGACTTCCAGAGTGACTCTGAACAATCCACTTAATTTTGTCCTTAATTCCCTATCTGTAAAATAGGGACAAGAACATTTCCCTACCTCACAGGGCTACTATAAGATACTGCCGCAATGTAGGTCATAGAAGAAGGAATATAGGGGAGGTATTGCTGGCTGCAAAGCTGAATTAGATATAGGAGGGGTGTGAGAGGAGGGGAATTTTACTGCTGGGAGGGAAGAAACTAGAGGCAGTATACTAGTATTGATGATCTGTGTAATGTGCTCTGTTACTACAGTGAGTACTATAGAGCAGGGGTTCTCAACCTTTTCCTTTCTGAGGCCGCCCCTGACATGCTATTTAAAAACTCCATGGCCCTGCTGAGCCACAACTGGCTTTCTTCATATAAAAGCCAGGGCCAGCATTGAGGGGTAGCAAGCAGGGCAATTACCCAGGGCCCCAGGCCATTGGGGCACTGCAAAGGCTGCTTCAGCTTTAGCTTCTGGGTGGCAGGGCTCAGAGCCCTGGGCTTCAGTCCCCTGCAGTGGCCTTTGGCTTTCTGCCCTTGGCCCCAGCGAGTTTAACGCTGGTTCTATTTGGTGGCCCCCCCCCAGGGGCCCTGGACCTCTGGTTGAGAACCACTGCTGTAGAGACTTTTAAAAGAAGTAGTGAGAGAGGTTGCGTTTGCATGTGTGAGAATGCAGAACAAGGAAAAGAAGCTTTCAAAGTGACCTACTGCTTTTTTGGCCCCTTGGCATGAGAGCAGATAAGGATGGGGTAGTTGTGGGAAAGGTTGGGCACTTTTTCTAACCTCCAGTGCACAGTTCTGCATGTAGCTTGACCTGAATGTGGAACAGCAAGAACAAAACAAAGGGCATTTAAAATGAAGGGTTTCAAATGTTTACTCTACCACTTTATTTTATTTAATTATTTATTACTGGTGTTTACATATCAAGGCTATTCATTGGTCTATTTGGAAAGAGTTGATGGATTCAGGTGCTGTTGCCAAAATCACTAAAACTAATAGGAATTATAGCCATGTTCATTGTCTCTCAAAGGCGGATGCATGTTGGCTAAGTAGCCTGGGGAAGCTTGCCCTGATATTTTACATGTACAGATACACCTCTACCTCAATATAATGCTGTCCTCGTGAGCCAGAAAAAAATCTTACTGTGTTATAGGTGAAACTGCATTATATCAAACTTGCTTTGATTCGCTGGAGTGCGCAGCGCACCCCCCCTCTCCCCTCCCGGAGCACTGCTTTACCACGTTGTATTAGAATTCGTATTGTATCGGGTCACATTATATCAAGGTAGAGGTGTAAATAAGGCTCCGGCCTGCATGTTCTTTTCACCTGAACTCACTTCGGGGACGACGACAACTATCTGAATGACAAATTCAAAAACCGAACAAGCAAAGTAATGATAGCTGAAACCAAAGAATTAGAGGTTGGTGTGGGTCATGCACTAATTCCTTAAAAAAAAAAAAAAAAAAGTACCTAAGATACTGTTGTCACCTGCCTAAACTTCACTTTCATTGGGTTTTGAGGTTCTGCTTTTTGAAAATCAAGCTCTTCTAGGGTTTGGCCACTTGGACACCCATAAATTGAGGTATCCATAATCACTAGTCACTTTGAAGATTTAATCCAGTGGTATCTTTCTTTCCTCCTAAGGACTATATACATTTCTCACTCCATCTATTTTCTCCTGTGGAAGGAGCATCCCCAAACTTTCCGATCATAACAACCATGCCCTTTTTCATTGCTTTTCAAAACTAGCTGTAATGAGGGCTTACAGAATTGACCCAATGCTTACCAGCTACACTTACACCCACATGTTCACCCCCCCACACTGGGTTCCTCTGAATGCTTCAACTACAACAGTAGCGGTGTTTTGGGCAACTTTGCTTCTTTTCCCATGCTGGGGAAAACCGCGTATCTGCTCTATTCCCATTTTGAGAAAGTATCACTTGGGCCAGTTTGCTGTCAAATTCTCCTTAAAAAAAATGGGAGTACAACTTTTGTTCATCTCCTGGGCTTGCTGCCTCCTTTAGTGGAAATAGGCAGCAGTTCTGGTGGCTCTGCCCCTTGGCCACTACAAATTCCTACTCATCATGGACTAGTGAGTGTCTGCAAGCAACATCCATAATAACTGACTAAAAGGCTAACTGAAAGTGGATTTGCACAGTGCTGTTCAAATTTCAATGATTTGGCTATTAAAAAGGAGGGAGGGAAATAAAAACTAAAAAGGCTTAGTTCTAGAATCCTCATTGCTCTTGGATTCCCAAGTGATGTTGCCCAAGGGGGGGGAGGTGGTGGTGGTGGGGTTCCTGGTACAATGATTGTGACAATTTCTTCTGGATGTAGACCTTGATACAGTCATTCAAGCCTTTGTCACCTCCCACTTCAGGAGTAATCCCATGTAGACTAAAACAGAAGACCTCAGAAACTGCAGTTGGCATAAAATGATGGCCTATTTATATAGTGGGATTGGTTGACAAGAGCATAGTGCTTCACTGTTGCGGAGTTTGTACCTGCCTATTTTCTTCTGGGTGTAAGTCAAGGTGTTAATATTATTCTATGATACTCTATGGCTTGGGTTGTAGCCATCCAGGAGAGTTCCTCTCTCCGCGTGCTGTCATGATACTTGAGCTCAGCTGAAATATTCAAGTTTAACAGGAGTAGGAAAACAGAAATTGCCATACCAGATCAAACCAGTGCCCAAGTCTAATATCCTTTCTCCTGATTATCAGCTGTTTTTGTGGAAATTCTCTAATTATGGAATAACTTTCCTTTGGGAAAGTGCCTATGGTTGGGAAGAAAATCAGTAGCTGGCTTACACACTGAAACAGGAGGACTTATTCCCCTTGCAGAAATTTATTTTACTATATATAACTGTGGATGATATCTTTCTTATCAAAGTCTGGTCCTGTTTTTGTATTCAGCTGGCTGCTTTGCTTCAATGGAGTCTTGTGGCAATGAGTTCACAAGCTAATTGTGGGTTTTTAAACATAAAAGTACTTCCTTTAATCAATTTTAAATTTAGTATCTTTCAATTTCCTTGTAATGCCCTTTTCTTCCTTTTTTGGGGAAGAGGGGAATAGAATTTTTTTTTAACAGCTTATCTATATTGTGCAGTATTATTCACCCATATCGTGTCTCCTTTTATTAATCAGCACTCTAAACAATTATTTCAGCATCTACTCACACAAGTTTTCCATGCATTTTTAATAGTTTTTGTTGCCTGTCTTTTGGACCTTTTTTCTGCCATGTCTTTCTTTTATTAGATGGGGTGACCTGTACTTGATTTACATATCCATGGGCTGTTGAGCAATTTTTAGTGGAGGGATCTTAGCTGTGGAATTAAATTTCTCTTGTTGGTCTGAAAATACTCTTCTCTTCCCCCCCCCCACCTTTAGGGCAGGCCTTATCTGTTATAGAGGCTTTTCTGTGATTGGGAGTGTTTATTTACCTACTCTACTAGTCTTTTGTATTTGTATTTATTTGATTTTTAACTTTCTTTTGTGCAATTGCCCTGAGACCCTGTATATGGAATCATTTGATAGGATGAAAAATAAAGTTATTTGTCAGACTTTTAGTTGACAATGTGAAGCCCCAAGACAGCTAAAATACAAATGCTTAACTTTGACTGAATTTGACTTCAGTGGGTCTACTTGCTTAAAGTTAAGCACATGCATAAGTCTTTGCAGGAGTTGGCCCTTTGAAAGAAAAATGGTTTGAGAACAGCACGTACTGGTAAACTCCTCACACTTCATCTTAAATAAAAAGGGGTAAAACTACTTGATACTCACCTTGAACCTGCTTGTCACAATTCAGATCATGTCAAATCTTTACAACACAATAATAAACTTTAGAAAAATACGGTCTTTGGTGGAAATGCTGACAGAAACTAGCACTATTATCATGCCCTTTCTTTTTTGTTTTTGCTTTGCAGTTTTATCTTTGTTTTCCCCCCTCCTACTGTAACCATACCTGCATTTAAATAGTGTATTCATTCATCAATTGTACTTCTCTTACAGAAAAGAGAGTTTGATGTGGATAATCTGAGCAAGCCAGAACTGCGGATGCTCCTTAGTGTAATGGAAGGGGAACTGGAAGCACGGGATCTTGTAATTGAAGCCTTGAGGGTAAGTTACTGTGGTGTTTTTTTTAAGATATCCTATGAATAACATTGCTGAAGTCGACGTACTTAGACCTATTTACTGTGGTGAGTCGACTGCTGCTGCTCCCCCATTGACTCTGCCTGCACCTCTCACGGCGGTGGAGTACAGGAGTTGACGGAAGAGTGCTCGGGAGTGGGTTGATTGCTGCCCACCAATCCGGCGGGTAGTGTAAGCATACCCTTAGTAAAAAGGTATAAATTGTGATGTGTAAGGCTCTTTAGCTGTTCAGACCCTAGCACTCACAAAATGCTTTCTTGGCTAAGTGGTAATTGCTTTGTTCCCAAACCACCTTAACAAAATATACAGTAATTGAATTTGGAATTTGAAAGGGTAGAGCATGGGGTAAAATAATGGAATTTAAAGAGAATGTTATGTTGCATCATACTCCATTTGCAATAGGTGGGAATAATTTTAAAGAAGGGCTGTCAATCACAGTTAATTCAAGTGATTAACTCAAAACAAATTAACTCAATTAAAAAAATGAATCTCAGATTTTATCACACTGTTAAGCAATAATACCAATTTAAATTTATTAAATATTTTTGGGTGGATTTCTACATTTTTCAAATATATTGATTTCAGTTACAACACAGAATACAGAGTGTACAGTGCTCTGATTACAAATATTCACACTAAAAAAAAGCATGAGGTGAAGTAATTTTTTTTACTGTGCAAATATTTGTAATCAAAATAATAGTGAGTACTGTAAACTTTGTATTCTGTGTAATTGAAATCAATATATTTGAAAATGTAGAAAACATCCACAAACATTATATTAGTGGTACTTTGTTTTTGTTTAACAGTGCAATTAAAATCTATTTGTATTTTAATCTCATGACTAATCGCAATTTTTAAAAATATATTAAATTGAATCCAGTCTTCATTTGTTTCAGCAGTCTTGATGCTTGGATGTAACAAATGTTTAGTGGGCATTGCCAGTCTTCTGAAGTGGGAGTGGAGATGAAATGGGAAGGTCATGTCAATGTAGAAAAGGGTGTATGCCAGGATATAAACTTCTGATTTCCGATTAAAACTAGTTACTCCTAGTATACAGTGTGCTAATGACATGAAAGGTCCTTAACCTACATTTGAAATGGCAAATGTAATTGCTTCTAAAATAACTTTTTAAAAAAGACTGACTACCTAATCTGAGTGATGCTAAACTTTGTCTGTTAGTCATTATTATTTTTTTTTGTGGAACACTATTTGCATAATTTGATTCAAATCTTATATTTTGTATAAATAGTTTTTATATTTATAGTATCCATTTTGATTTCTAAATAAATTTAGAAAAAGATTCTCAAATATCATGCTAGTTAAATATTGCTTCCTCACCGAATATCTTAATAATATTTATCACTGAAACTTTCCTTAAATAAAATATTGAAAATGTGAAGCTCTTTCCATTAGATTGTCTTAAATTGACATAATTCTTAAGGTAACATTTGGGAAATACTGGACATATTGGAAAATTGAATTTATGAAAAGGTTTTGTGGTTTTTGTTTTTTTGTGATTGGATGGTACTTTTGGCTTAAAATGGAAAGGAATAGAAGGCAGGCTTAATGTCTTGGATACTGGTTTGTTACGTAAAAGTATGAAACCAATGTCCCTTAAACAAAATGCTTTTCTGCTAGCTTATGAAAATCCGAATTTCAGCTGCAGCATATAGAAGGGTCTATTTGAATATGGAAAACGTTTTATTGATCTGTGTTTTCTCTGGGAACATGGAAATTTTGCCTTCTTTAATGGTATCAAAACTCTTTAATGCTAGTAGTCCAAGCAGGTGACCTAGTAGTGGGCAAAACTGACTTTTTATATGTCCACATACAAGAATGATTTTAATAAAGTGAATGTCTTTAACTACCATTTTTTGCTAATTAGTACATGTTGTGTCCATCTTCCTTCTATCGCTATAACAGCTTAATTTACTGGACCAAAAATTTCTTTAGGCTATTAACAATGTACTGTATTCATGAGCAGAACAAAGCTGTAGATGTGAGCTTTTCCAGCTGAGTGCAATTCATGTCCTGCTTGTTAATACTGTACCGTGGAAGGCTACAGTTCCACATGATGTATCATCTTAAGAGAACTGAGTATTTTCAGATTCCTACTGTGTAGATTCTTTTTTTTTTTTAAGAAACCTACATTAATAAAGCACTTTGATTCCTTGCTAAATCTACTGTCATGCATTTTGAACAAAATAACACAAACATGGGTGGGGGAAAAATGTTAATTGCTGCTATACGACTTCCTGATAAAGGCACAAACTATTTCAATATTCACTTAATTGCTGCACGCTGCTAATCATTTGCATGTATTTACAGCATGTTAACAATGTGGCAAATAGAGTAATCATTTAATAGATTAATATCGATATTCAGCTTATTACCTATAACAGGTTATATTTGTACCTAGAAATGTCTTATGAAGGTTTATAGCTCTAATTGTAAGAAGCTATAATTTAATTAGCATGATTGGCTCAGATAAAACAAGGAAATGATTTTAATTCTAAATGATAGCAGGTGAACCGTTAATCTTCATTTCAGGTCTTGAAATATAGCCATGTGCCAATATTCCTTTATTAATCTGAAAACATTGACACCTATCTTGACTCACTTATAGCCTAAAATGGCATTTTATGAGCAGCTAGGTTTAACCTTTTGTGGCCCAGACTCTCCCATTCCTTAATGCATGAAAATCACATTTAAAGTGATAACCTAATTTTGTGTTGGCCAGGTGCTATTGAAATTTTAAAATTAATGACCTGGAAGAAAACATAAAAACAGTACTGATAAAGTTTGAAGATGTCACAAAGATTGGTGGAGTGATAAATAACAATCACTGATACAGCATGATCTGTATCACTTGCTAAGATGGGCAGAAGCAAACTGTTTGTTTCAATAAGTCAAATGTAAGGCCATACATCTAGGAACAAAGAGTGCAGACCACACTTACAGTATGGGGGAACTTGATCTTGGGAAATGGTGACTCTGTCCGTCAGCAGTTATTTAACGGATTTGTTTATGCTCTCCACCTTTAGGTATAATCACATCACATCAGACTGTGCCCTGGCCACCCTTTTACCCACAGTTGACTTTCCAACACCAAACTAGTTAGCAATAGACCTGTCTGGGGTAGCAAGCTTTTAGACAGTTATAGAAACCTGCTTCTGGACTGACATGGCCATCCTCATATATGTGTCACAGTGCTGGGGGGTCGGGGCAAGCTGCTCACAAAGCTCCAAAAATGTAGCTATTTTTCATGTGAAAACTCTGGACCCACTGTTGGTCATCAGAGGTCCACAGGGCTGTGATATCCTGCCAGTCTGCTCTTGTAGCCCTGCTTCAAAAGCACTGGTCTACATAGTGTCATCAACAGCTATACTAAGAGTCCTGAGCAGCATCAGCCAGTTTGTCTTCCATGTTTGTATTGTTTAGCTTCCTCTTTCTCCTGCTCTATTAGCTCTTTCAGATGCCTTTGGTGGGTCATAAAATGCTGCCAAACTGTCCACCAGCATCTTGTGAAAGTTCTGCCCGCTTCCTGAAACAGGAGTGAAAGCCCAAGCAAGAGAAGCTCTTCAAAATGGTGACTTCATGTTGCTGGCTCTCTTTGCTGGGAGTATGCAGATCCAAAAGACCGCTCTGCATAATCTGTTGGGAATTTGGTAGGCTGTGACAATCAAGTCACAGCCTGCACCATGAACAAAAGGCTAAGAGTGACCACATCTCAAGAGAGCACTAGAAGTCTGGGTTATGGTTGGTTGGACTTGGGTTTGCATACAGCAATATGGATGCTGGAGTCCCTGTGTCAGGCCCAGTCTCAAGTGTGGATGCTCAAGACCTGGGTTTTCAAACCCAGTGACTGTAGTCTTGAGTTCCACTAACCCCAGGGTTATGTTGTAGTGCAAATGTAGCCACTGTGATGCTGTGGCTAAAACAGTTAATGGGAATCTTGAGTAGGAGTAGGGAGATTATATTACCTCCTGTATCTGGCACTTGTGTGATCACTGCTGGAATATTGTATCCACTCTGGTGTCCATGCTTCAAGAAGGATATTGAAAAATTGGGGAGGGTTCAGAGAAGAGCCCCTAGAGTGATTAAAGGATTGGCAAACAGAGAGAGAGAGAGAGAGACTGAACTCCTGGAGTTTCTATTTAGCTTATCATAAAGAAGGTTAAGGGGTGATTTGGTTCTGTCTGGCATGCAAAGATGTAACAAGTTCCAGTGGATGGAGGCTGAAGCTAGATGAATTCAGGATAGATATAAGGCACAAAAATCAACAGTAAGGGTAATTAACCATTGGAACAACTTATCGAGGGTTGTGCTGGATTCTCCATCACTCTACATTTTAAGATCAAGATTGAATGCTTTTCTAAAAGTTTTATGCCCTAGTTCAAGTGTGAATTAATTCAGGGAAGTCATGGCTTGTATTATGCAGGAGATCAGAGTAGATCACAATTATTCAGATTCTAAGCACTTTGTCCATTGTTTGGAAGTGTGGGTTCAGACCATAGTTAATGTTGTGATCGGATTTGCATTTAAAGCAGGTTATTGATTATGATCAGAGCAATTTCCCTGAACATGAAGAATTATGTGGTATACAGGGGAGACTTTTTTCTCTCGCTCCCTAATGTATGCATTTAATTCCAGCCTATGCAACTAAGAATTGTGTGCCCATGTTAAGGGGAGAACATGGGAGGGAAGGTGGTCTTTTACTTGAGATGTGGGACTGGGAGAAAGGACAACTGAGTTCTGTTACTGTCATCACCACTAACTCTATGCTGGTCTAAATCATGAGTTACTCTGCACTAGAAGGGTGCCCATTCTAGTGGACATGGGCCAGGCAGTGCGCAAAATGCTCATGTGGACCCCACTGGTGTACATTTAAAAAAAAAAATATTCCCTACTGTGCATTAACATAGCCCATTTCAAACAGAACTATATTAATGAGCACCGGGGAACTT